CCGTAACAGGAAAAGGTGGTGTTTAAGTCATACAGGCCTGGACTATAGAGCAGTGGAAGCGAGTAATATGGTCTGACGAGTCTTCTTTCACATTGTTTTCCCACTTCTGGCCGAGTTTACGTCTCTGGAGAACGCCATCTCAAGCCTATAATACAGACTGCTTGTTGCCAAGAGTGAAACATGGCGGGGGGTTCTGTTATGGTTTGGGCAGCCATATCGTGGTTCTCTGCTAGCCCCATGATAACTGTGTCAGGGCACATGACTGCCAAGACTTATGTGAACATTTTGGCCGATCAAGTTCATCCCATGGTACAAACTTTGTTCCCCGATGGTGATGGTGTCTTCCAAGACGACAAAGCCCCTGTTCACACAGCTCACATTGTCCAGGACTGGTTTTCTGAGCACGAGGATGAGTTGTCCCATCTCCCCTGGCCACCACAGTCACCAGACCTGAATATTATCGAACCTTTGTGGTCTACATTGGAACGGAAAGTGCGTTCTCGTTATCCACTGCCAACATCGTTATCTGAACTTGCCACCGTTTTGCAGGAAGAATGGTATAATATTCCCTTGGCAAACATACAGGAACTGTATTTATCCATTCCGAGAAGACTGCAAGCTGTTTGGATGCCAACGGGTTTCCTACACCATATATAGCAAAGAAACATGTTTTTTTAAAGGTGTTTCATTATTTTTGTCCAACCCCTGTACATTTACAGTGAATCTGTGACATGTGGAGGCATTTTTGCTGAAGAGTAGGAAACGGCTTAGTATACTGAAATATATCTCGGGACAAGATTGGGGTGCTGACGCGGGAACTTCAATAACCACTTATTTGGGTATTATCCGTCCCATCTTAGAATACGGCCTTCCTATTTACTGCTGTGCGTCTACAACTAACCTCCAGAAATTAAAGAGAGTGCAGCTTAGTGTCTCTCGTGTTATAACTGGCTTACGTAACAGGTGCCCAAATTATATTTGAGGCGGATCTTCAGCCTCTGAGTAGAAGGAACTCGAGCCTAGTGAAGTATTACAATAAACTTTACTACAGTTTCTTAAATCGTAACTCGGATTTATTGCGGCATTGGCATATTAACGAAAGACTTAAGAAACACAGCCCGTTTAGTCAGATTGACAACAGCAACTTACTTGACCCTACTGTAGAACAATGCTTCTTGACGCAATGCATTGACCCTTCAGTGAGTCTTCCAAGCGTCAGTTTCCATACTGAACTACTGTCAAGGGTCACAACGAAAAATGATGCGCAGATTTGTCTTTGACAATTTGCCGTTGATATTATAAATAACACTCTAAACGGCACTACGCTTATGTATACTGATGGTAGCAAAAATGAGGATTCTCGGTTGGCAGTGGAGTACTTATCAGAGATCCTAATGGAATTTTCAAAATAAAGGAAAGAACTCCTGACTTTAGCTCAGTATTTTAGAAGTGAAATCTTTGCTATCAATGAGGGACTGAGCTATATAATGTCATTCTTAGACCCTAAAGCTATCTGGATTATAATTGATAGTCGTAGTGGCATCCAACATTTGTCAAACTGGTGTAACGTTGGTGACAGAACTGGAACTTCAGTTTTTACTAAATTAAAACAAGTCTCATCCTCTTGTGATGGGCATTACTCAGTGGATTCCCTCACATGTGGACATTTGGGAAAATGAAGAGGCAGACGTCCTGGGAAAGAAGGATGCCGAGGAGGCACTGGCTACTTCCAATTGTCAGACTTAACCTTGAGCTACAGCTCAAGAATTCTGCCAGAAAACATATTGATAAAATGACTTGGCTTGTCCCTCGGACGCACTCTTGGTACCGGGTTGAATCCCCTTATGGATCCCACACTACGAACTGTGACAGATGCACCCAGACAGCACTCTCCCGCTTTCTTAGTGGCCATTTAAGAAGCCTTGCCTTCCAGGGAGATCAAAAAACGCACCCGAATTGTCCGAAATGTAACAATGAGCAGGCTTCTCCGGCACATATCCTTAGGTGTCTGGGTTTATCCTTCGACGACCTGATTAAGTCTCCTACGCTAGTTTATGACTTTTTGAAGGTGAATAAACTCGTAGACCACGTTTAACAGAAACTGTACTCGAAGATTAGTAACAACGACAACAACAACAACAACAGTGAATCTGTTTTGTTTGGTTTATTTAATTATGGCAAAGCACACTAGGGCTATCTGCCTAAGGGGAGGGATGCCTTCGTGGAGGACTTTCTAAGGGGAACTTGCTCGTATACACGCTACACATCGGGAAAACCACGAAAATGCCCATGCAGCCAGCCCGTTCGCGGGATTCGAACCTCGGACCGAACGCGAGACCGATCTCGGACCAGTGTTCAGCGACTTTACCGCTCGGCCGCTGGTGGGCCAAGTGAATCTGTAACCTCTACAAACGATATGTAATCTTTTTGTTTCTACAACTTTATCTAGACTATGAGCGGCAACAGTAGAAATGAAAATAGATATAGTATGATGTTGTTTAAAAAAGAACTTCTTTATAAAGTGAATAATAAATTGTTTTTCCTTAAATATAGTAGTATAAAGTTATTCTTAAACAGAAAAAAATTACGTTTATGATGTAGCAACCGCAAAATGCCAAAACGAAATTAATAGCCTTTCTGAGCTACGGCTCCTTTGGACTAATAACCAAAAAAAAATCTGAAAGTTTCAGATTTTACATTACGCCCAAAGGGGCTTTTTTAACGTTTTGTGTGTTACTTTTATTAATTAAATATCAAAATATCCTGTTCTTCGCACTCAAACCATAAAATTAAATTCAACTGTAATATCACAAAATAATTTTAAAACGAGCACATCTTTAGAATTTTCGATACACAGTCTCGCACTGTGGAGAAAAAAAATGTTTTTTTTTTCGTACAGTGTTGCCATTTCTCGCTTTGAAATCGTCGCGTTTGTTAATTAAAAATTCGTTAAAGTGTTACAAAATATGAAATCGATAATAAGACAAATTCCAAATTAGAGCTTCCAGATGCCCATATTCGGTGGAGGATTACGTTATTGAAAATTTGATGGCTCTAGGTACCGTTGTTTTATCACAATGCGAGAAACATATATGCATTTATGCAGATTCTGCATCATTTAATTTCTTTAAATATAATACAAGGCTATAATTTTTGGTGGGAACAATTTGAAAAGTGAAACGAATATTTAAAGTTTTCGACGCAAAATGCCAAAACGAAATTTAATAGCCCTCCTGGGCTAATACCCTTTGGGATTAAAAGAAGAGTTAGTTCTTTAAATTGATGTGGACACCACATGACTTGGCACACATTTTTGTACACATTTTTGCTGCATTTCATTTAAACTTATTTCCTCGAATTTCCTTAGAGATAGATTTCTCATTTAATTAATTCAGTTCTCACTTCGCGGCAAACTAAAAATGCATAAAAACTTAAAACATCTTTATTAAAATTTGTAAAATGCAGAAACGTAGAAAACATCAAATATAGTTAAAACAGTTCAAAAAACAATTTTCACAATTGAAATTAGAGTTTCTTCGCAAAAACAAGCAAAAGGCATAAAAACCTTAACCGGAACATAAGAACTGCATAGTCCAACTAATTTTAACACAAAATATGCACAAGTTACCGACATATAAGAGTTAAAAAAAACTAAGCTCACCGAGCCAGGTAACAGGTGGAAATAGATAGATAGATAGATAGATAGATAAGATTGGTGCAACCGATTGCAACGAAAAGGAGTGGTGAACAGCCAGGGCCGTTCCTAGCGGAGGTGCAGCGCACCTGATTTGGCGCGGGCGGCGGCCAAACACAGGGGCGGCCGGACTCTCGCAATGCCAGGCCTAAATATTTTAAATTCACTGTAAGAATTTATCATATGTAAGTACTTTATATACTATGTAAGTAGTTAGTGAGTATGAAATACAAATTTTATTAATCATTGAGAGTTTTTTTTTGGGGGGGGGACGGACGGAAGCTTTAGGAAAGTATGCGGGCAACCAATGGCCTAGGAACGGCCTTGTGCACAGCTATATGATATGGCAGTCTTATATACAAAATTTCAACGTTCTAAGGATGCTCGTTCTTGAGCTATGCGAGATACATGCATACGTATGTACAGACGTCAGGGAAAAAATATCTTCTGAATCCATTTTACAATCCTTTTCGGCAAAAACACTCCTTTATTCGGTCCGCACGTATAGTCGTCGTCCAAAAAAGTCGTTCAAATGGATTCGAGAGCGGTTGAAATAGATATTTTCGTTGAAAATATAATACCCTAAATTTTTCGCTATTATAATACTATTATTATAATACTATTTCGCTATTATAATACTATTTCGCTATTATACTACTCTTCACATCGTATAAGGAAGTAAAAAGAGGAGTTCATTCAAATTTCCTCAAGATCGGGAAAAAACTGTTGATTTGTGTGAATTACCAAACGCACGGCCATTCTTCTTTATTTATACTGGCATGCACGCTGTGAGCTCGTGAACAGGGAAAGAAAATTTCAGTCAGTGCAAAACTTAAGTGTGAAATACATTACAAGTGTCAGTACATTTCTTACACAGGAAAAAAAAAAAAAAAAAAATCATACTTTTAATAATAGACCAACTACCGTACTGCATAAATAAAAATTACAAAAACTTAACCTTTCAGATAATATTTTAGAAAATCACATCAAGCCTGTTAGGAAAATAGTCGAACTATTTTTGGATATCTGTCATTAGTTCTTTTTTGCGTAGCTGCGAATGCCTTAATCGACATTTCAAGCTGTTTGCGGCTTTAGAGAGCCCACTGTTTCAGAAAAAATATAATAATAATAATAAGCAAAAGTGAAATTTTATTTTTAAATTATGATTACAAACGCGCCTTATTGTTCATTTACTTTGTGTGGCTATTTAGTGTATTAAGTCGAGTTCTTATTGCTTTTCGGACTGCCCTACTTTGAGGCAGATTACAAATATATAAATACTTGAACCTCCAAAAGTGATAACTCAAACCTTCGAAAATTCTTTCACGAGAATCATGGATTCGGTCGCAGCTTTAAAGGTAAGTTGTAGCATTCTTTCAGTTCTTTTGTTTACGAATGCATTTTATTTTAAATTGCACTGAAAAATGTACCCCCTCTCTGAGTTTAAGGAAGTGTTGCGCATTTTAGAAAAAAAAAGATTTACTTCTGTACATTTAATGTTTATTTATTTCTAGCTTTGTTCAAGAAATTACTTTAGTACGTATTTTCTCGCGTGTCCTCCTTCAGCTTTTTAGCGATAGGTTCTGAAAATTTTAAAAATATTCGCGTCATTTTCCCCTTCCACTGCGCGTTCAGAGAACGAACTCCCCTAAATTTTTAAATGTTTTCGTTTTATTAACAGAGACAAACCTTCGCAAACGAACTGCGAAGGTTAAGACGAAACTTTTTATTCTAACCGCATACCAGCGTAATACGAGAACTGAACCCACCACTGCGAAGCAAACACAAACCAACATTCAATCCACATTTGCCGAGACGGCTACCCATTCACCTTCTCTAATTATTTGCTGATCATTCGAGGCCTAAGGAGTAGCAGAGACAAGAGTAAGTATGGGCAAGATTGATGTTACAATAATGTAGAAATGAAGCTATCTTATTAAATATTCTAATGCTAATATCACTATGTATTCTGAATGGAATGTAGATTTCTTTTAAAGAAATAATACTGTGATCGTAATCAGTAGTTTATCCATGATTATTTTTCATTTGTTGCGTTCTTACTGTAACCGCTCCTTCAGAAATTTAGCGTTTAGCGTCATTTTCTCCTCTCAATTTTCTGACGATAAAAATAGTAAACAAATCTGATATGGACACAACATGATTTGTACGCCTATTAAATTACACACACTTTTCGGTGCATTTCATTTAAATTCATTACCTCCAATTATTCATTTATTTTAAATTTTCTCGTAAAGAATTTATTTTGAGATTTATCACATAACAGGAATTTAAAGCATACTTTATATGTTTTCGTTTTACTTTTATGTGAATGCACATACATGTGAAATTACTTTTTTATTTATTTATTAAGTGCTCCGCCTTTTAGCACTACACAAAAAAAAGGAATGCCCCGTGGAAGACTCTTTAAGAGAAGCTGTCTCGTATTCACGTTACACATCGGGAAGATCATAAAACGCCCATGCAGCCACACTTTCTCCGCTCATAATTGATTTACATCGTACAGAACGAATTTTTAGATCATTGCAAAAGCACATGTGAAAATTTATTATGCACAGATTTTCTCTTAACATATATATGTATAGAAAAGGGAAAAAATCTGATGTGTACAAAACATGACTTCCTTGTATGGAACATTAAATTATACGCATTTTTTCTTGTATTTCATTTAAACTTATTGGATTGAATTAAATCTATTTCGTCAATAGCGCATAAACCACAATAGAATAAATGCACTCTTTGAAATTCACTATATTTGTTTACCATAGCGACACTCTGGCGCTAGGTTCACTAACAGCGTTATATTTCGTTCATATTATAACTCAAAATGCACAAAATTTATATCATTTTAAGAATTATCTAATCATTACCACATGTTCGATCCAAATACTATAATAAATCTAAAACGCTGTATAAAAGAAATTAAGGAAACAAAACAAAAAAGAAACAGTTTTTCACAGACGATTTAATATTTTTCATTCAATTAATTCATTTCTCACTTCGCGACAAGGCAAAAATACATAAAAAATCAAAATATCTATATTAAAAATTACGAAGCAAATCTTAGACACTTATTTCCTCGAAAAAATTCCACAAAGGATTAAACGTGATTTAATTCGCAATAATAACTGAAGGTGTTATCTTTGTTGTTGCAAAGCTTAGTCTCTCTAGATTGGCAACAAATCTACTATTCTGCTGTTTCAAATGTAAACAAATATGACCGCCATGTTATTTAAAAATTAGGCTTAACCGCACTTAAACTGCTTTTAAATTGTTGATAATTGTATAAATATTTCTTGCAGATTTACTAAAGGCATAAAAACCTTAACCGGAAGATAAGAACAACATAATTCAATCATTTTTAAAGCAAAAAATGCACAGTTTACAAACATATAAGAGTAAAGAAACTGAGATCACTGAGCCGGGTAACAGAGTGGATATATATATAAATATATTTATATACGTTTGGTGCGGCGGATTGCAACCAAAATACGAGGTGCATATCTACATGGTATAGAAGTCATATGTACAAAATTTCAACGTTCTGAGGCTACTCGTTTTTGAGTTATGCGAGATACCTACGTACGTACAGACGCCAAGAAAAATTCTCTTCAGAATTCATTTTAAAGCAGTTTTATAATTTTTTTTTGAAGAAAAGAGTCTTTTATTCTGTCCTTATGTACGGATGTTACGCAAAAGCATCGTTAACTACCATTCGATAGCGGTCAAAATGGATATTTTCGTTGAAATTTTCTGCCTGAAACTTTTCGTGATTATAATACTTCCTTTTTACTTCGTACAAGGAAGTAAAAAGCTTCTTTATAACTTTTCTTATAAAAAGGTTATGAATTTAAAATGCATAATTTATAAATACTATTTTATGGGGTACGCATAAAATGCAACTGCGTATAGTGCATTTTAAAACATAAACAAGATTTCTAATAAATTATCCAATTGTGATACTGAAGAAATTGATGCTAACATTTTATGTTACATATTCTCCATTTTGTTTCAAATATATAGCATAAATTTGAAGTTTAAGGAACTATCGCCGAATTTTCTTATTACATATTGTCTGTTTTCTTTCAAAATTTGGGTATATTTTTAAAACATACAATCTCACAGTCATATACATAAATTGAATCATATACATTGAAAAGCATAACAAATTCTGAGCAAGCTTTGCGAAGTTTTCGTCATAGTTGCTCTGTATTTTAACTATATAAGCAAAGTAAGTAACAACTATTTTTTAAATGTGTTACACTTTTTTTATTTCTTTTGCATTAATAGCACATTTTAGTTTTAATTATATAGCATTTCATAAACATTCTTCTAGAAATGTCGAGAATTTTTAAAAAATTACTTAAGCTTCCGTGCAATCAGTCACAGAGATTGCTAACGTATACTTTATTTTAGCAAATTTATAAGCAGAAATAAAAATTTCCAATAAAATTGAATTTAAGTATCTTAAGAGTTTGAGTCCCGTAAGTTAAATATAGAGACATCTGATAGCAGTAAATGCAACTGATCACCGAACTTCGTAAGCGCAAATGTAACACATAATTGTTAACAGTCATCCGTCTTCGAATGCGTTTCTCCCTCACAAATGGGAATGGAGCTAGGTTATTTTATACTTTTACACTGCTACAGCTAACCTCTGAAAGAGGGAATCCCAACCTTTTCTTGCATCGACACCTTTTAAAGGAATGGTCTTCATTGAGCCCCTTATATTTTTTTTTCTAGAATATGCAGTATACATCATAAACGCAACACAAATAATTGCGCATAATTAACTTAAAGATAACAATTCGAACAGAACAGGAACAGAAATTTTGGAGAAATGGTTTATCAATTTAATATTTAAATATCGTTTGTGTTATTAGCCCAAAGGGGGTTTTAGTCCAGAAGGGCTATTAGTCTCGAACCGGCATTTTGCGTTGAATCACTAAAAGCGATGAATCACTTTTTAAATTGTTGCCACCAGAGATTATCACCCTATATTCATTTTATATGATTTCTTCCTTACATTATATCAACAAACAATTAATTGCCAATTTTATTAATATTTTTAAATCGCTGTGCGAAGTAAAGGAAGTATTGTAATCGCGAAAAATTTCCAGTTTCAAATTTCAAGGAAAATAACCATTTTGACCGTTCCGGAAACATTTTTAGTATTTTTTGCACGATGGACAGAATAAAATATTCTTTATTCCAAAATGGATTTTTTCTTGACGTCTATAGGTACGCATGAAGTATTTTACCCCTGAAATTATGAAATTCCCCCTCCCCTTGGTTGAGAACCCTTGCACCCATCTTAAAAACTTTCATGCGTTCTTTGGAATTCAAACCCTGGCCTATTTGTACGGCAGATCAGCGTCATTAAACACTATACCACTCCTCCAAGAAATCAAGCAAGTTGGAAGCACTCGCATGCTTTGCAGTAGACAAATAAACCAAATCAAAAACTGTTGCAGCGCCCAAAACACGCGCCAAACAGTTTTCCTTAACCAGCTTGATACTTCCAGCGAGAAAGTCTACTCCCGGCACATCTCACCTCGACTGTGCTAAAACTTTTCTAAGCATAATAAATATATTTTTTAGATTGCTTTTTTTTTCCAATAAATAAAAAACAAAATAGAACGACACACTTTAGGAACGCATTCTTAACAACATTACTTTGAAAACAAGAGTCTTGTTAAGAGACAAGACCATTACTTTTAATTTACAGTGGGTATTTATTTTTAGTTTTATTCGCTGTTCAAAAGAATGTGTTGCCACTGATCGAAATAAAATGTTACAAGCACTTTGATCCTTTGTATGCTAATGAGTTGTCATTCAGTAAAGCTTCCAAATTTAGTCTATCCTTTGTAGGTTAACAAACTAAGAAATTTGAAAGAAATAAACATAGTTCTTAAGATTTTTTTCCTGTTTTTTATCTGATTGATTTAAATAATTCATTAATTAAATAAAAATGCATTCAGATACGAGACGTCCACTTAATATTAAATATTTTCAGGAAATGACACTAGCTGGACTCATTCTAATCATTATACATATATATATTTTCATTTTCATAATAACTATCATATTTCGTCGCATATTCTTCCCCTAGGATTTTAGCACTAGATTCTAAAAATTTTAAGAATATTCATGTAATTCTGCCCTTCCTCAATGCGTTCAGAGAACGGGCTTTCCTTAAACTGGATTCGTCTATGTAGTGGTCGTTTTCGTCCCAGCAACAAAGACAAACCTTCGCAACCTGTGAAGGTCACGCCGAAACTAACTCTTTTAACCGTTGGACTTTATGCCAGCCTGATGCGAGAATCGAACCAACAAACACGAACCGATATTCGCTCTACAATGAGTTGGCTGCACGTTCTCCTTCTCTAATTATTTATGTATGATTCGAAGAAGGAGTAGCAGAGACGACAGTAAAAATAGACGAGCTTCAAATTGCGCTGAAGTAGAAATGAAGATATCGTTTTAGATACTACTTGCCGAGGGACAACTAATCTGCTGGGTAGGGTCAGTAATTAGGCAGCCTCGGCACTAGGAACATAAAATCATGAACCGGGTTCTTACTTAACATCTATCCGAGTAGGTAGTGTGGCGATCCAATGATCATTGGCGACGGTTCGAATACTTCCAAATCCTGCGACGTTTATTGAGAATGCCGCCTCCCCATCAGGATTGAAAGTTGCAAAGGCTTCGGGCTGGTATGTTACAAGTCACAGAGTGCGACTCATTTTGGTCGAACCGTGCCTCCTGCCTAATAAAGAGGATTCCACTTAATAGATGCGGCCCCCATAGTTGCATTAAGTTGCAAGAGTGGGTATAAATTCTAATTAGCTATTAAATACAACTAAGTATTAAGTAATAATAAGTACGCATTCTCATTCGAATGAAGGTTTTTTTTAAAGATATGATATTGTGATAGTTATTCCGTAGTTAATCTATGACTACTTTCTGTTTATATTAGTCCAAAAGGGCTTTGACCCTGAGGGACTATTGTTTTCGATTTGCGATTTTGCGTCGAATCACGCTGAACGTCCGTTTCACTTTTCAAAGTGTTGCCACCAAATATTATCACCCTGTATTATATTTGAAGAAGTTAAATAATGAAAAATCTGCATAAGTGTATCTAAGAATCTAGCATTGTGATAAAACAACTGTACCTACAACTATCAAATTTGCAATGACAATATCCTACTAAGAATATGGTCATCTGGAAGTCCAAATCTGAAATTTGGAATTTGTTTTATTTACAATTTCATATTTTGTAAAACTTTAACAAATTTTTTAGTAACAAACTCAAGGATTTCAAAGCGAGCAATAGCAACGTCGTACAGAAAAAACATTTTTATCTTCAGCGCGGGAGACTGTATATCAGACTAAAGATATGCTCAATTTAAAATTATTTTGCGATATTGCTCTTGAACTGAATTTTAAGATTTAAGTGCTTTAATAAATAAAGGTAAAAAAAAAATGGTTAAAAAAAACGCCCCTTTGGGTTTAATTTAAAATTTGAAAACTTTCAGATTTTCTTTATATATATATATATTTAAATCTTATTGTAATTGCATCCTTGGGAAATTAAATCATTCACATTATTTTTTTGCTCTCGATTTTTGGACTATAAAAGTGGTTAAGAAAGAGGTTATGTCATATTTCAAGTTTTTATATTTGAGGGTTTTTTTTTTTTTTTTTTCCAAAAATCGTGCGATTTTAGCCTCTCTTGATGGAGTGGGTAAAAACGAATCCCATTTCAAAGTGCAAAATCTGAAAGCACGAAAGGAGGTCCCGTGACTGCAAGGTATGGTATTGTAAAATATTTAATTAATAATGTAAGGTATCCTTACTGTCATTCTCCCTTTCGGTTTTCCTACCAGCAGGGCAGGCGCCAGAGCATGTGCAATTCGTGCTGCCATACTAGGCGGCAGAATTTAGGAGCGGCAAAATTTTTAGAAATTAGAAATTTGAATTTTAGAAGGAACCTGGTTGGTTAGCTGGTTGAAATGAAAGGGACTAAAGATTCCTATAAGTAAAATAAGTATTGTTCCTTTTCACTTCTATTTAGAGCTACCCCCCCTCCAACACACACTCAGTGGGCCGTGCGGCATTTATTGAAATTTGGTAATATACATAAAGTGTACATAAGAACATAGCATACATAAGAATACACATAAAATTTGTATGAATAATTTAGACATATATACATAGTAGTATAAATTTAGATTGAATGGACATTGCCTTTGTATATTATACTGATTTCAAATTTTGATAAGTACCTAAATAAGTTCATTGGCATAAATTCATTGTTCTAGTTATCAGTGCATAGTTTTAGTTCATAGTTCTAGTTCATGTAGAGCTCATATGTTTTAGTTCATAAGTTTAAGGAATCTGTTGGCAGAATTTAGAACTTGCAGATTCTGCAGCGGGCAGCAGAAGGTGAAGAGCCGTTCCTGCCTAGCAGAATGCTAATTTTAGTTCGCGCATTTTAGAAACAGCTAGTATTTAAAGGAAGGTTTTAGATTGTTTAGTCACAATGTGTTTCGCTAGCTGAAGGCTACGTTACTAGTTGAAATTCCACGGCAATCTGTGTGCGACTTTGCTCTATGCTTGCCATGGTACTTGTCCTTCTGCTACAGGTTTGAGCGAACTTACGGTTTAATCTTTTCTGTGTACCCTCTGGACTAACTTAAGATTTAACTTTGTTTTAATATGAATTTCGTAATTCGGAGTTACGCCATAAATGCTGGTTAGCTTGTAAGCCCAAGGAGTGTCTTCTGTTTATTGTTTGAGCTCTTAATGAAAAGGTCTTTTAAATCCTTTTTACATTCTCTGTTTTCTTAAGAGATACAGCGATAATTCGCTTTAGCCTTCCGAGTCTCAACTTAATGTATGCTTCACAAGAAGGTATGTCACAATGATATTTCGCCCTCTAAACTTTAAACACTGCTTAAATAAAACATTAGTGACAGTCGCGATTATACCTAATATAGAAAAACGAGATTTTATTAGAATTTGAGTAAGATATGGTACTATTGTTTTCTTGAAACAGACCTCTAAATCTCGAAAATGGAAATATCTAAAGTAAAAAATCACATCGAAGCAGAAAAAATGAAGTTTTCAGGATTTGGCTAGCATTAAATCTGTATTAGAGATATAACGTTCTAAAGAAACATGAAAAACCGCGAGTATACTACTGTCACAGGTTTTAATAAAATAAATTTTTAATTTTATAGACTTTTAAAATGTGACTTTTATCGTAGAAATGTTAAACCATTATAGGTGAAGGGAATTTTTATGACCATCTGTCTACCATGGTATTCAAACGAAGAATATGTCCACAATTCCGACTGGAATAAGTGTTCTTTACGCACCTTACTCTCCTTTTAAACCATAATGAAAAGTAAAAAACTGAAAGGATGAAATGATAGGATTTTTAATGTTTTCGTCCAGAATATCTACAGAAGTGGATAAAAAGCCTGAAATGGTACGATATTTGTTGCCACCTTGAGAAAGCCTGAATCGAGAAACTCCGAAATGGCATATCATGATTCTAGACAGCTCGCCGCCCAAGCGGCTAGCGAAAATAATAATAATAATAATAATTCTTTGGAGTTAGGTATGCATTTTCTTATTAATAGTCCTATAGTTTCTTATTAATAGTGACTTGTTCATTTAAAGATTGTTTGTATTTCATTTTCAGATTTTGTTGATGATCTACGCTTGCAGATTTGTCAGTTCCAAAGCCTTGGATTCAAGCGACTCGTACAGTGCTCAAGCATCAGAATATAAAGCTAGTTACGAAGCATACGTAAGTAAATTTTGAAATGTAAACTGAAGATTTGAGGTATTTACGTATTATCGCTTCGACTATAAAAGCCTAGCTATCATAGAACTAAGTTCGCGGAGATCCCGCCAAATTAGTGCCATTTTCAAGAAACTGACACCCTTTATTTAATAAATAGTCAGTATTCACCCGCTTCTTGAAAAGGCTTTAATCGATTTCTATTATTTTGTTAGGCGCTTTGCGTTCAAACTTCCTTCACGTGACTGTTACAATATATTACTCTTTCGTCGCCCTATTATACAGCTGACAATATCGCGTCAAAACAGAAGAGAAAACACACCAAAGAATGCCATCCCTCCCAATGATAAGTCATGAAGCATAAAATGGCAGCTATTAACTATTATGTATTTCGCACTCTCAAAGTTTGTGCCTCAGAACCTTTGCTTGCTGATGAACTCAATTATCTGAGAGTCGCTGAATACTGATAATCCAGTCCGAGGTGCGAATCCCGAAGAACGGGCTCGCTGCATGGGCGTCTATGTGTTTTTCTCCATATGTGATGTGTATACGAGCCATTTTCCCTTACAAAATCCTCGACGAAAGCATTCCTTCCCTTAGGCTGATGGCCCTCGAATGCTTTGCCGTAACAACAATAATAATAATAACAAACTAATCTGACATCGATAGCCACTGACAGGAGATTTTCTCTCGGGGTCATTGATAAAGCATTTAAAAATTTTCTCTTGCGCTCAACGACATTCCGTTTTTAAAAAATAACATTAACAGCCTCGTCGTGCTTCAATTTCATCCTTCTGTCAGTTACAAAATTGCAGGGATTCTCCAGAAGTTCAATTTTCAAGATATTTTCTCGCCTGGCAATAAAATGTATGTTGCGATTCTTAAAGTCCATTTCTGACTTTAATTCATGGGGAATTTATAGCATTTCTTGTTAGTGTGGGTTGAAATATATCGACGAAATTAAAACAGCGTTAAACTTTCACACCAAACACGAGTCTTAATGTCTGAAAAGGTGAAACTAACAAGTCTTCGAGAGCTAATGATAGTTGGAAATTAAATTATAGCTTTGACTTTATGTATGCAAAAATTATTCAAAAAGCTTCTTCCATTGGTATTTTGGATAATTTAGAAGCTTTTCACATTCACAAAGATTTATCTTGCTTAGGCAATGACTTTAATTCCAATCCAATCCTTTCTAGAGCTTTTAAAATTATATGAATTATTTTTTCAATTTTCTTTACTATTTCTGACAGACGGCTATACCTACTCGTTCGCTTCACTTCCTTTGGTTATAAATACAACCGTGGCTTTCCTTTTGTTGCAGTTTCTTTGCTCCTGATAAACAAGGATTTATACTTGTTCGCCCTCGGTTGATATAGTCTTGACTCAAATCTACGTCAAACACAAGATTGTTGGATTTGTTAATTTTACATATTGCGTATACACTTTTTTGATGGCAGGATTCCATAACTTTGAAAATAAGCCGCAGTTTGTTCTTCTTTAAAAGGTTGGTTCTAAATTTTACTTATTTTTTTCTTTTTTCCTTTTTAAAATGCAAGAAAAATGCACAGCCGCAATACCACCTATTCTCTTGGTAGAATGCAGGTGGTGTCTCCATCTCCCGTCAACTGTTAATAGTTCGGTGACAATTTCACGGTCGACGAATAATACGTATGTACCCAAATCAGTGGTTATCAACCTTTTTTTTTTTTCTTTTTTTCCTCAGTGCATCCCTTTCACCATTGCTAGACATTCATTTCCACCTCTGCAGTCCAAAACTCTAAAAATACTTATGCATTTATTTAAATTTAGGTTATTTTCCAGTGTGTTTTATAAATTAAACAAGAAAAGGTCTGAAAAATATTAATTAATATCAAAACTTGAATAAAAGTAGTTTTTCATATTCATCAGCCGATAAAACTAAATAATTAACAGGTAAATAAAAAGCTGATCTCTTTCCTCCCCTGAACCAATGGAATTCCCCTCCCCCGTTTGAAAACCTCTGATTTAAATAAATACTTTTGCAATAGTTTCAAACGCAATAAAATGAATTTCAACTGATTCTGCATCTACTACTGCTGTTGGCAGCAGAAGGTGCAGAATAACCAGTTATAAAGCTCAAAACTTCTAATCAATATTTACTTATATATTTTATTAAAATCTGTGTATCACAAGCTCAGTGACCTTATATTGAAAAGGCGAAGAGAAAAAAAATTGGGTGTGGCATAGAAACATTCAGCTGGTCTCACAAAGGTAAAAAAACCTCTTCTCCTTTCCTCCAAAGCGAAAAAGCGGCTAAACTGTTCTCTATTTGCATTCCTTATTGCATTAGGTGGTAAATACATACAATTTCGCGCAATTTCATTATTGCGTTTTAAGTATTATTATTAATGTTTAACAATGTTTTCACCCAAAACATTGTATGCAATGAAGTTGATAATTAATTTTGTCATGAAATCAGGTTTGTACATTCCTCCCCCTCTTCGTTTTCGATGATAAATAGGCCTTCATTTTTTTTTTTTTTTTTTTTTTTTTTTTTTTTTTTTTTTTTTTGTTGCAGTTATTTAGCTAACCCATGCTTCATCAAGGGTTGCAATGTATTTCCCTTTAGCCCCCCCCTGCTAAATACGTAGTTTTCATAGAGCATTCTACAAATTGCTCTGAGCTGAGCCACGTGCCTCGGCAAAAGGTGTTGAACATTTTGGTTCAACATTTGGTTCAAGGTTGTTTTTTAGCCTTTTTAAATTGAAAATCTTGGTTTATTAGTCCAAAGGAGCTTTGTCCCTGAAGGACTATTGTTTTCGTTTTGCGATTTTGCGTCGGACTCATAAACGTCGGTTCACTTTTCAAACTGTTGCCACAAAATGTTAGAGTCCTGCATTACATTTGAAGAAATTAAATAATGAAAAATCTGCATAAATGATTGTCTATTTCTCGCATTGTGATAAAACAATGGTACATAGAGCCATCGAATTTTGAATGACGAAATCCTACTACTGCGAATATGGGCATCTGAAATCCCAAATTTGGAATTTGTTTTATTATAGATTTTATATTTTGTAAAAACTTTAACGAATTTTTGATTTACAAAACTCAATGCTTTAAAAGCGAGAAATGGCAACGTTATATAGAAAAAAAATACTTTTATCTCCAGCTCGCGAGACTGTATCGGAAATTCTAAAGATATGCTTAATTTAACATTATTTTGCGATATTGTTCTTGAACTGAATTTTATGATTAAGACACAATAACACGCCGAATAAATACTGATTCAGAAGTCAAACAACAAAAATCAGCGTTAATTCACAAAATTTTCACAGGACTAGTTTCGATGGTTTTACCGAACCATCATCTTCAGCTGCAAAACGGCAAATGAACAAGATAGGAAATAATGTTTAGATAAGATAAGAAAGCCTGGACAAGAATAAGCAAGTGGCGCCATCTGTTGGTGAAACCTGAACTAAAAACATAATTCTCTAAAAGCCGAAGGCAAATTTGGATTGGAATTAGGATCGTTAACTAGAACAGAAAGATTTTTATGAATGTGAAATGCCTCTAGAAAATCCAGTTCTCCAATGGAAGATGTTTTTTGAATAATTTTGGCAGCAGAAAAATTGAAAGTGTGATTTTCGGACCAACAATGTTGAGCAACAGAAGACTTCTGTGTTTCCTTTTTTCTAACATATGCCTCATGTTCTTTGACGCGAAATTTTAAGGCTCTCTTAGTTTGGCCAATGTAAATTAAACCGCACTCTGGCAAGGAATCCTATAAATACCCCAGGAATTCATATCCGGAATGGGGTCCTTGAGTATAGAAGTTGGAATTTTATTGATGGGAGAGTAAACAACCCGAAAGTTAAATTTCTGCAAAATATGTGCAACTTTATAGCTAATTGATGGAAAGAAGGGAATGACAACAGAATTTTTATAATCTCCTAAAATAAGAGTGTGGCTTTTAGTGTGTTTGAGATGAGAATTTTTTTTAACTGCTTGATTAATAATGTTGGGGTGAAAAGCCCCTGTCAATAGCTATTGCTTTTAAATAATTTAGTTCTTCATCAAGGCTAGTTTGGAGGAGCAAACTTGAAGAGCACGGAAAACATAGGAATAAAAATGAAGCTAACTTTTGTTTAGTCGGATGACATGATTTAAAGTGTGGTGGAAGGCAAACCGATGAAGGTTTACGGTAAAACTGTAGTACTGAAGTTGGATGTGTTACGTGTGACCAGAATGTCGAGAAACGGAAGAGAATTGCAAGTCTCAAGTTCAAAAGTGAACTGAATAGCAGGATCAATAGAATTCATTGTTGAAAGAACTCTATTAAATCATCTTTATTACCTTCAAACAGGGTAAAAGTATCGTCTACGTAGCGGAACCATGCCGGGAAGTTTAAAGTTTCAAACAATTTTGATTCATAATAATGCATGTAGATATCAGCCAGGATGGGACTGAGGGGGCTTCCCATGGCTAATCCCTCAGTTTGCTTGTAATATTTATTTTGGAAAACAAAATGTGTTTGTTTTCAAACAGAGTTGAGTGAGAGAAATTAGCTCATCAATTTCGATGCAAGAGAAATGAAATTCGCGAAGTCTGGTTTCTAGACATCTTTAATGCACCCTCCACTGGGACATTGGTGAATAATGATTTTACATCAAAAAGAAACCATGAGTAAATTACGAGGAGAAATGTTTTTAACCTTTTTTACAAACTCTATTGAATTTTTTATGGTGTCAATGTTATTGTCTAATAGAGTGGAAAATCTAGAAACTAAATATTTAGCTAATGGATACGAGGCAGTACCTAAATTTGATACAATAGGGAGGAAAGGAATACCACTTTTATGAATTTTGGGAAGAGCATATAATCTGGCACAATTCGCAACAGATGGGATAAGCGAATGTTTTAAGTTGCTTGAAAGTGGAGGGTGCATTAAGATGTCTAGAAACCAGACTTCGCGAATTTCATTTCTCTTGCATCGAAATTGATGAGCTAATTTCTCTCACTCA